TGCATCTCGCATGATGCCTTAGTTCCGTACTGGTGATAGGAATTGGGCCATGGTGTTTGTTGGTGCATTCATTTGAACATGGAAGTTGCACACACATTTGAGTACTGCTTATGGCCATCATGCCAAGGAAATGCGTATTGTGGTCGCAAGATAGAGAAACTAGGCCCTTGAACTACAAACATGAAAAAAGAGAGCCATGATAGTGCATACATTTCTTGAAATTGTATGCCATTGCAATCTGGAATCCCCGCTGTCTGCGAGTACTTTGCAAGGTTCTGCAGGCATCTTGCCGCCGAGCAGTGTAGCTAATTGCCGACCGAGCACTCATATCTCTGCCGAATAGCTTCCACCAATGGCGAGGTAGCTATAATACGGCGTGGTCAATCCCACTCGTCACGGATTGTCTTCCGTATCTCAGAGAAGCAATCCGAGGTTTGGCAGCCTCCAGAGGAAGTAAAAGAGGAAAAACAGAGGCAGACAATATAAAAATGAGGATAATGAATTGTACGGTTCCATATGCAATGGCGCGTACAACTTCCGAGCAACGACCCGAGCACGACAATCATGCATTGGCCCTCCCACCCGAGGCAGTTTACTGCTTTTCCTAGCTTAGGTTGAATGTTATATATTATTAGCCAATTGTAATATTTACAATTAGCTTTGCGTAGTTAATTAATTTTGTATTATTTATTTGGTCCCTCCGAGTGAGGGCGAATCTGTAATAAAGTGGGGAGTAGTGTGTAATGACTTCCAACCCCATTTTCTTTCCGTTACTTTCATATCCCTGCTATGAGGAGTTAGTGTAGCAATTGATTAGATTAGCAACCATATGCTATGCATGCGTGCACCATACATTTGTTTTGCATGCACCGGCTCAGCACATCAATGCTAACTGCATGTGTATTTCAAAATTGCTAAACTGGAATACGTGCATCATATCCGGGTAATGTACATTTCACATGCCATGTTAAGAGTTAGCCGAGCCTACCATAAAATTGCGATTCTTTTGTTTTGGCGGCGGTATTGCAATGTAGTCCGAACTGACATGAACTAGGATAGACGCATTGTTTACTAACTTGATTGTCTTCTGTGGCGAGCGCAGTAGCACGATTGGTGGAAAGTATTTATGCTAATCCGCATACCACAGGTACGTTTGAATGTTGCCTAGTGCCTGTATGTTTGTTGCCAGTGTGGCTAAAATGCCTACGTGATATAACTGTTTGAATGCCCGTGGGTGCAAAGGTTGGATTGTTTGAGTTGAAAACTCGTTGAAATCCGTATTTAGCCTACTGCGAGAGCAAATTCAAAGGCGCGCTTTTCAAAATAAAAAATCGGTATGCAATCTTGTGTTCCAAAATTAGGCCAATCCATAGTCATAACTTCTTTTGTACGCAGAAAAGTAAGTCTAGGCTAACATATGTGGATACTATGAAACACATAAACGTTTTTTCTGGCAATAGAACGGATATCCGGTATAGTAGAGGACCTGATCGTTGCGGGATAGGGTTCGAAGAAGGGGGGTGGTCTCGATAGCGACCTGTTCCCAATCGTACCTTAGCTCCCAGAGCCAAGAAACTCGGTGAACGGACATGTGGCCTTCCGCACCGATCAAGGTTTCCTAAATTCTCCCATAAAAATATTTAAGGTGGCGAACCTTCTGTATCTGCAAGCTAGTCCATGTTGGGCACTCTTTTCAAACAAATCTTGTTTCTCAAAACGATTTGCCGGATTGGCCTTTGGCTCAGAATAAGAATACGTGACAATTTGAGTTCCCGAGCTGTAGTGACCCCGACAATGACAGAAACGGGACTCAGCCATTCGCGGCGTCCGGGGGGACGCTACAAGTTTCTGGCTGACTCTGCTGGGCAAGTTAGGAGCTTGACTCAAAGACTCGGATGCATCCTGTTGTCAGCTTATGTGTTCCTTGGCATTGCATGGCATATGTGCGAGGGTGCCTAGGAATCAGTGTTTGCCTCTCCAATTCCTGGAACGTTTTCGCCTGAGGAGACATGTCTTGTCAAGGATCGACACTAAGGCTAACCGGTTATGGAGCCTCTGACAGCATGGGAACACAAATCCGGTATTCCGGGCACCTTTTTTGACATTCGTCGATCCTAGTGCTATCTGTTCGGATTCGTATGAGTAACCATTCCAAGTTAGGACAGGGTTGCTTTACCCGATGCTGGCTGTAAGTTGTTTGAAACCGCTTGCGTGCTAGTTAACTACCCTAGCTCCTGATCAGACAAAGGACCAGTGTGAGACTTCACCCCACATACCGTGGGTGTGTACTTGTTGTTGGCTTTCTTTACTGCTAGTGCTTTTAGAACATGTATTCTATGGAACGGCATATCATTGCAAGTTGAGTTTATTCAAAACCTGGTTACTAGCCATATCAATGTCAGTTATGAGAATCAGTATTACATTCTGCGGAAGTATTACTGGGTTCATTTTGGACTAGGTGATTCTGGGACACAGTGACAGCAGTAGAGTACAGTTGTTGCAGGCTACACCCGTGTTTATCTGTTTGGGCTGAAATGCTGTGGTGTTGTCCTCGTCGCCAGATTCGGACAGCTGGACAGATATAGCTAGTAGCTCATCAGCCCGCGCCGAGGCAAGGGCTTATGATGACATAGAATCAGAAGAGATCGCTGCAATTAGTGACCAGCCTGTCATTTGGAGCAGTTACCTTTGCAAAGTGTACTACCTAGACATCTGAGTTCAAACCCGATTCGCAGGTTCTTTCCACATGACTATTCCGGGCACTTGCCTGCCGGTTGGGCCCCCAGCTATACTCCACCCGCGAGACTGGGCGTACTCTACAAATTCGAAGCAGGATGGGAGATGAGTGACTCCAAGGGTACTGTGTGCGGAATGCTCACTTGTACGGAATCATCAAGTCTTCGAAACTCCGGCCCGCACCGTTAGCCCGGGAGTTGTATGACCCCAGCGTAGCCCACACGCTGATTGGTGCTGCGAAGCTCGTTGCATTTCGAATCGTTAGTCAACCGAGATGAGCCCTCCGCTATGCGAATGACAATATCAACATCACTCAAATCCTCGATCAGGCGGAAGGCCGAGGAAAAGACTAAAAATGAAGGCAGAGCGATTCCATTGAAGACAACTGCTGTGGCAGCGAGGCTTTGAAAGCCGGGGATGAACGAGAGCAACGATGCCGCAGCGTGGCAAAACTGTGGAGGAGCTTCCCGCCTCCGCCTGAGGGTAGTTCGAGTCTGTCAGACATCAGCACTCAGCTGGGGGAATAGGCCCCGTTATGCCAGAAACTTACCTCCCTATTTACCTCGCGCCCCTGGCAACCGTAAATAATCAATAGAAAGCGTCTACAAAGTGGCCGCGTGCGTACCCTTTGCGCTTGTCAGCGTGATAAGAGCGCTCAGACCCCAAAGTACTGCCCCGGAGACCGACAGACCTTCATGCGCTCTATCCATTGCCTTGTCCAAGGCAACTTCCCACGAAACCTTGCCGAAGAGGGGCACCGATAAACCCTTGGAGCTGTTGGCCTCTCCGAAAGAATTCTTCTCCGCCACGCATGAGCGCTCAGTACTGCGCCGTACCAACCAAACAGACAGGTCCATCCCGCCACCTGTACAATTGCTTTCTCGCCTCCGCCTGGAGTCAGATTGATTGACAACGAGGTATCCTCGCCACATCCACCCCCCCCCCCCCCCTCAGCAAGTCCGTTACAACCCAGCTATCTTGGATTGAGGACGACAGAATTATCGCAAGTATGCTAATCCAGCAAGGTGAACACCTGCGGGCGGCATCCTGAATATTTTGAATGTGCGTCTGGCACGCATTTGAGTGGTTTTGATTGAAAGCCTAGCGTAATCCGCTGGGGTATCGAGTCCTCCTTTATGTTTGTCGTCTCCATTTCGTCTGTGAGTCAGTCTTTTTGTTTAAAGGCTTGTCTTGTGTAGCGATCGGTCCTCCTTTGTAAGAAACCAGGATCAGGGGTTTTGCCTCGAACATCGCTTGTCTTGTAATCATCCTGTTTTGTTTTTGAGCGTTCTGCAAGGGCCAGTTACCAACAAATTTGAAGAAACAGCTGTTGCGATCGTCACTTTCATGCTTGCTTTCGTTTAGTGCCAGCAGGAATTGATTGGCTGACAGTACAGTCGCCTGCTCTGCCTGCGCCCAAACTCGTTGCGCATTAACCTAATGCTTTTCAAAACCTCTTTGAGCACTGGGTGAATAACAAGAGCAAGGAATTCCTCGGGATTTGTAAAATTGATGCATTTTGAGAGAAAGAGAGCATGCTAAGCCTTAAAATGATGAAATCAGCTTCGCGGAGTACCTGGGAAGGACCCTGCTTGATCCCAGATGGTTCCACACTTCTCGGCACGAGCGAATTTGCACTTCCTAAAAACTTCAAGAACAAATTTACGCGGCCTCTGTGAAGACCTGTGTGGAATCGCTCTTGGAGGATCGCGCAGACCTAGGATCGCTCTCAGCTCAAGATCAACCCAGTCCGTTTCGATACCTGAACCCGTCAGAAAGTCAAACGTCAAACGTCATGTAAAGTTGTATGGCCAGATCAGAAAGCAACCCTCGATCAAGAAGGCAACCAAAGTCGAATCAAAAGAGTAATCCCCTTACCCCACCCGAAAGAGCTCCATGGAGAGCCACGACGATCTCTAACAAATTATTACAAACGCGTCTCCTACACAGAGGCTTCAACTCAAAAATAAACCATTTGGCAAGGACTTTTGCACTTATTACCCACTTTGAGTAGCTCGTTGGGCCGAAAACCCGAGGGCGACCCAGGCAAAAGTTAGAGCAGAGAAAAATACAACAAAAAAGCAGAAAAGCCCTGGATGACCCAGGAATACACGTTTCGTATTGACTGAAAAAAAAAACAAAAAAGAAGAAAAGAAAAGGAAAAATGCGAAAAGAAGAAAATGAACCAAGAAATCAAAAAGAAAAATGAAAGGAAGTTCGCAGGCCGAAACCGCATCGGGCGCCTTGCAAAGTTAGAGCCGAAAATGAAGTTAAAAGTACCCGATGACCTTAAACCGGACTACGAGCTTGATTCCCATGTTGGGATACTAGGCAACTTCATCATAAAAGTCCAGCCCCCAACGCTCATAGCGTTCAGTCTATGCAAGGTGATTTCACCCAAAAGTCCAGCGCCAACACCTCCAGCTGACTGTGCCATTATTTGTCACACCGTCCAAACGAACACAAACATGGATAATTACCAAGTGTTCCAATGGTGACGTCCAAGTCTTGAGGACGGTCAAAAATGGGGTGTCTACAATAGCTCAATACAAATATGTCTAACGAATATACAATCTCAAGACAGATAATTTATTCAAAATTTCCAAAGATGAAACGTATCACCTACTCAATTCCACCATCTATTCCGATACTCATCGAATTTCACGTTTACAACACAATTTCATTTATATATACAAAATAAATATCATAATCATTTTACAGCAAACTCCCCTCTTTCCATTTTACACCTAAACCCTAGGTTTGTTTACATCACCCCCAAATCTCACCATTGCTACACAATAACAAATAACTATATTAAAAACCATATTAAGGTGTAGAAAATCCCTACCTCGAAGTTAGGAGTTGAGCAAAGCAAAAGGGAAAAACTCCAACGATGCTGAAACTAACTTCTATTCGGATGAAAATATAGTTCTTGGAAGGCTCCAACTTTTTCTCAAAGACACTAGGGTAGAAAACCCAATGGATCTAGGCTAAAATGCAGAGAGAGAGAAAGAGTCCAGATCTAGGTCTTTGAAAATTTTTAGAGAGAGAGAAGAATGAAAAAGTGATATAAAATGTCATTTTCGCGATCTGATATACACACAATTTGCTCGAGTGGAAGAATTGACGCTTGAGCGTCAGGCACAATAAGTTGTTTCGCTTGAGCGCAAAAGTTGACCTGCTCAAGCACAGAATACACCCATCTAATACTTTTGCAGATGACAAACAAACCGCTTGAGCACAACAAAGGCCGCTCGAGCGCCAACCCGCTCAAGCGTAGGAAACGCTGCTCGAGCATGGAAAACACTCTTCCAGTACTTTTACGGATGCGCAAAGTACTGAGAGTTCGCAAATCTCGCTCAAGCATAAGAAGTGGCAAAATTTACAAAGCCCCCTCGAGTGGAGAAGCAAAAATCTAGGCAACAAAGGTTTGGAAAAACAAGTAACCAACCTGTCCTAAACAAACAACTACAACCCGATAGCTAAAATAGAGGGAAGGCAAGAGAAACAAGACGTGGATAACCATTCAAAACCATACAACCCGAGTCTGGAATACAAAAAGTGACGGGTCAAAATCGGGATCGCTATAAAGAAAATCACCATTGGATAAGTTTTATTTGATAATCCCACATTGACAGAAGAAGGAAAAAAATGAATTGTTTTACTCATCTAAAGTGAATCTTATACTCCCATCCCATTTAATATTGTAGTGTTGTGCATATTTCAATTCAATATAGTTTAAAATTTGGGTAAATTACAAACATAACTCCTGAGGTTTGCTTAAAATACAAATTGTCCCCTGTAATTTGGAAAATTACAAATACCTCACTATCAGAATTTTTTATTTAACATAATTAATTGAAAACGTAAAATTTCTAATTGTTCACCTATACAATAATAAAATTATCTGAATTATTAATTGAAATAAAAATTTAACATTATTAAAAATTATTAATTAACTTAATAATTTATTAATAAAATGACCTATTTGTTATGAAATTAGAAACCTTAGGGGGGCATAATGTAAATTCTAGAATCACAGGGAGTAATTTGTAATTTAAGTAAACCTCAGGGGGTGTGTTTGTAATTTACCCAAAAAAGTTTTTAAAAAAAATTATTTTCTCTCTCAAAAATTCATAATCTTATAAATCAATAATTGGTTTTTAAAAAAAAAAATTTGCCAAATTATATTTTAATTATAAATAATAATAAAAAAATCTAGATGTTCTTAAATATTTATAAATTTCAAGTAGATATGAGAAATTTTTAATTTTTTTCCCAATAAACTAGATATTGTAGTTACAATCTAGATTTTTTTTTAATATAAAAATAATTTATATACTTTCACGGCTTAAAAAACTATGTCGTGAAATATTTATACTTAAGATGACATGCATTTTACTTTATAATATAGCATAATTTTACATGGCATGCATTAGTATGTAGTAAAAATTCTTACTAGAAAAATTATTTATTTATTTTTTTTTCACTCTCAAAAAGTCATAATCTTATAAATAAATATTTTTTTTACCAAATTATATTTTAATTATAAATAATAATAAAAAAACAATTCTAGATGTTCTTAGATATTTATAAATTTTTAATAGATATGACAAAAAAAAATTATTTATAAAATCTAGTAGATATTCTATTTATAATGTACAATTTTTTAATACAAAAATAATTTATAAACTTATACTTAAAATCTTTTTTGTCTAACATTTGTTACTTCAATTTTTATTTACTTATTAATATTGTTAAAGTTACACATTCTTTACCTTCCAACTTTTTTTTTTATTAATATTGTTTTTGCTTTGTTAACCCCGGTTCAGTTCATTCTCTCTCTATCTCTTTCCTTTCTCTCCATCGGCATCTGTGAACCTGTTAACAAAGATCAATCAAAAACGACGCCATCGGTCGCCTCCTTCTCATCCATTCCGATCTCTCCTCTCTCATTCACCAAGTAACTAATTCATACTTCTAGAGAGAGAAATGAGATAGCAATTTCATATTTGATCGAACATTGGTTTGATTCCTGCTTGGTCCTTTTTTGGTTTTTGTTTTTGTTTTAGCTTTGATTAAGTGAATTTTTCTCATAGTATCCTCTCAATCAGTTTTTTTATATCACAGTGGTCCTTTGTTCTTTAGGTATTTGTGCAGATATTGCAGTGTCAAAGTATGAATATTGTTCATCTTTTGCACCTCTTTTGAAGTTGTTGTTTATGCAGGGCAAAAGAGAGTTCGATGGGTTTGATTTTGGCAATCCAATTATGCTTTTGGGACCATTACCCTCCACCTCTAGGTGATTTTTTATGGGGTTTATCTGTTTTGACATATGTTTCCTTCTTCACCACTGGGTTTGCTTCTTTTCTGTGATTTTCGGCTTTGCTTTGTGATCCTATGTTGAAGAAAGATTTTCCTATCACTCATGTGTTACATGACATGAATGTTTCGGCATAAAGTCTAATTTTCCACTAAACCAAAAGACTAACCTTCACAAAGTCGCAGTTCACTGATGAGCTAGAAACAACACGGGTAAGATATATTCCTTCAATAGCTTGTGGGAATAATTATCTGTCAGAGTACCTTGCTTTTATTAATGAAGCACTTAGAAATCAAAACTTTCAATTTTCATTTTCATTGCCTCCTAAAGATTAAAACTTAAAAACTTGAGGTGAACATTAAAGTTAAAAAAAATACCAAAGTTCTTATACAAAAACAGATACAAGGTCAGGTGTTGAGCACACCAAGGCCATATTACTTCACAAAACTGAAGCATGGCTCTTGTATGAGAGAGTTGGAGTTAGAAATAGAATTGTTTCCAATTGAAAAGTTATAAAAATGTCATTTTTTAATTCTTACCAATGGCTCTTTATGCTTGAAACAACGAACACGGTGTATATAAAAATAAAAATAAAAAGTACACTATATAGTCCATGTGATCAAAAAAATGCTTATTTCTAAATGAATAACCTAGATGTTACAAGACTATTATATGATGGAATATCACAATCAAAAAATAAATGTTCACTCAAAACCGAAAAACATAATGGATATAGAAATCAAACAATATATGACTTTCAGCTTTCTAGGGTTGTTTTTCAATTGATTGGTTTCCATTGCCATCTCTCTCACTATATGTTTCATTTAAGAACTGTTTATTAATTGATTCTTGGGTATCTCATTACGATATCTAATTTTTGTGTTCAGATTTGGATCATATTTAATTGATTTTTCTTTATTTCACTATTTATTTTGATTATTTTCTGTGTACATAATCAATATGCATTTCTAGCATTCCCTTTGTCTTTATTAATCGAGATTATGCATATCATTCAAGTGTTCTAGAAAATGTGGGTGCTCTTTCTTTCTGCTCTCTTTTGATTGATGGACGGCATCAATATTTAAATAGATGTTAGTTTATATAGTTGGAGAGTTTGGTCCTGAGACTTTATCTTTAGTAGTGACACTGTGTGAAGCTCTTAGTGCATGAAGTTGGAAAACCTGTTTATTTCCTATCTGTTCTTAAATCATGAGAAAACTTCAAGCTCTATACCATTTTCAATACCAGATTTTTGTATCACAAGGGAAAAATTAATTTGTCAATTGACTCCAAAAAATAAGAAAAAAGAAAGTAGTGTTTTTAAGCCTAGAATCAAGTCCTTTATCTCTGCTTTAGAATAAATGAGCATATCCCAACGATAACAATGCTAATCACAAGCTGCCAAACTTAAGCTGAGATATACCTAGGTATTGTATTGTGCTTCGATTCGACACATTGGTCTTTCCCCATTTATTTCTCTTGTTTTCTGTCCTCCATATTTAAAGACTCCCATTTTTTTTCTTTGAGGGACAAAAGTATTGTGGACTGTTCTGATACTAAAGGAGGAAAACCAAACCAATTTGATTGCAATAATTTTCTTTAATTTCCATTCTCAAGATCCAAGATGCTTTATTTATAAATACAGAGGCTTGCTCTATGGCTGAGGCTTTTTGCTGAGCAATGTAGTTCTTATTCTACTTTAATTCCTCAAAAGACTATCTTAACCAGATTGTGACTTAATTTACATGTGAAGTCATGAATGGATTAACCTTTTTATGTGGTTAAATGTTGTCTCTCAAACATGGCATACTAGAAGCGTCAAATTTTCTGGACTCTAGCTAATTACAAAATACTCTTCGTTTGTTCAAATTATCCATGTACATTTACCTGTGAACTATATGATACTCTGGATTTCAAAGATATTCACACTTGGGTGTTCCATTTACTCCGACTATCATCCATTGCTGACCCAACTTCCATTTCCTGCACTACCTTCAACATTCTCGCCCCCATTTACAAGAGGCTCAATAAAGAGGTAAACCCATTTTCATTCCCATCAATCTGATAAATCCCCAATCTTCCACATTTGATTGAAATTCACATTCTTTTTTGGGGGAAATCAACAGGATCAGAGTTGTCGCGAAAGTGATATCCGAGCGTATTGGCTCAATAGGAACCACTCGATATTGGATTGGTTGTTGTATGAAAGATCTTCGATTATTTGTCTTCAGGTTCTCCCTTTATTTACCCCCTTTTTTTTCTTCTCTGTTAATGGATGATTTTGATCAATTCGGATGCTAATATGCGAAATTGTGATTGTGTTTGTGTTTGTGACAGGAGTTTTGGGTTGGAAATGAAGAACTTGTTGACATGTATGAAAGGAGATTTGGTGATACTAGCTATATTACTTTCAAGCTTGTATGGTCAGTTTACACATTTCAAGTGGTAGTAACAATCGTCAACATGACTCAAGAAAGAGAAGAGAGCACAATGAACTATAAATACATTTATAAAAAATATGAATCAACTAAAAGCAATAGAAAGAAGCAGGAATTTCAAATTCAAGAAGTCTACTTGAGCATTATAAAAGTACATGAAGAAGACCCATAGCTCATACTTACAGAATTCTGTGTATTGGTACAAAAAAGTCTAGTCTAGTGTTTTCTAAAAGGTTCTTCTTTGTATTTAAAACAAAAGAAAAATGTAAAAACAGCTATTACATATTGCAAATTATGAGTGCACTTTGAAAACCGCCTTTTAAGTTGCAAAAAAGAGATATCAATTTTTCTGATGTGACTTGCCAGTAAATCTCAACCACACAATGTAGCACTCTAGGAAATTTTAAGAAAATTTCACTCTAGAGGATCCTTGGTGCTTTTTATGGTGGTGGGGCATTGCATTGAAAAGCACAAGGAGCATCAAGGGGTTATCACATATAATTTGAGTTATAATTTAAAAAAATTATAATTAAATATAATATGAAATATAACTAAAAATTTCATTAATTATAATTAAAAAAATTAATCATAATTAAAAAATAACATAATTTAAATTGCATAAGGTATAAAGTATGTATAATAAAATTCTTCAATACAAAAAATTCAAAATGAGAGGAAATGGCTTCCCTCCAGTCTAGATCAGACGGGAGGGTGTTGTTGGGTTCGCGAGGGGCTATCATGGGTCCTATTTTGATAATTTGAATCGTTGAATGTGTAAAACTTATCGAGTACTATATACCTGTAAAAAATTACGCTGATCGGATATCGATAGCTACATGATCAAATCAGTTTTGTATAAATAAAAAAAAAATTGACAGTTGATAGAAATCTGATCCGATGAAATAGCTATCGATATCTGATCAACGTGATTTCCTCTAAGCATATAGTACTTGACGAGTTCTACACATTGAACGGTTCAGATTATCGAAATGAGACCCGTAATAAGCTCTTATGGATTTAACAATACCCTCTAATCCGATCATGTACATGAGAAAAGCCAATCCCATTTAAAAATCAGTGTTAACGTTTTGCTTTTAGAATAGAGTGTTAACAGCAGTTTTTTTTTTTTTTTGTTACAAGAAAAATTCTCGCACTCGCCTGCAAATTTAAGATAGCGTCCCTTACAGAGATCACTAAGATGTCTTGTTCTAACTTTCCAAAACAAGCTCTGCTAAACTTAAGACTTGCACAACAAAAGAATATTAAACTCCCACCAAATGTGATGAAACTCATTAACGCCAATTAACATTGTTGGAACTAGTTAAATGTTCGTGAATGGAGTGGCAGTGGTGAGACACTTTTTAATTGGTTTGGGACACCCGTCATATCTGAGCACCCTCTCAATGATGCGATGCTTAATAAGTTGTGTTTGCTGAAAGGAGTGTCGTTTATAAATTTATGTTGGTTAATTAAAAAATATAAAAATTTATAATAAATTATGATTGGCAAAACAAATGATCATTGGTCACGTAGAGCCTTTGAACTAGCAAATAATTTTTCAAAACATTACTTAAAAAATAAGAGAGTACAATTAATCAATCAATGTTTTTTTTGTATAGTTGAATTGAAATAGGAAAATCATCATAAAGTGCGGGGCCATGTCTATTAATTAATTGTCAGAGTATCCAGTGAAACTTGTATGTACATATATATATATATATATATACACATGAAAAAGGATAAATTACATTAACAGCGCTTAATAAATCTGAAATTATTGATGGGATAATTAAGGGGTAAATTATTAATAAATCATAATAATTAGATTTAATTTTCATAAAATTCTATTAAAAACATATTTTAATAAAATCGTTGTTAAAAATAATTTTGTATGATATTTTTTTTATTTATGTCATTAAAAATTGACAATTAATAACTTTTTTTTTTTATTTTTTATTTTTTATTTTGAGTTTATAGGGTTCACAAATTTGTGTTGAGCAATTAATGAATACGAAAAACATAATAAATTATGATTTGTGAAAGACATGGTCACGTTGGGCTTCTGAACCAACCAATATTTTTCCATAACATTATCCAAAAAATAGGTAGTACTATCAATCAATCAATATCTTTCATACAGTTGAATTGAAATGGGAAAATTATTAGAAAGTGAGGGGGCCCACGTCTATTAATATTAAGGTCTTATTTGTCGTGTATTAAAAAAGTCAAAAAGTCATTATCATATTTAAATCACATCATGTTATTTAAGTCACATCACCTCTCTACTACATCATTTCAAACTCAACCCAAACCCAACACATATTTCATAAAAAGTCAAAAAGTACACTTATTTAGAACATTCCAAACCAACCCTAAGTATTATGTTAAGGATTTCAAATAATTTATTAAATTTTTTTATCAAACTTTTGACATGGATACGGGACACATATGTGGGTTTGTGTTGATCTCACACTCATGTGAGAGATTTAATAAAAGATTTGATAGATTATTTGGAATCCATAATTTTTTCCTTATATTATTTGTCAGGGAGGTATCCAATGAAAATTGTATGTACGTAACCTATTTTGAAAAATTGATTAAGAGTTAATTTTTTAATTTTTTAAACATTTTTAGATTACATTAACGGTTTATTTTTTTCATTTTTTTTTTTGTAAAAAAAAAAAAGTTAAAAAAATCAAATTTTAATCTACTTCTCAAAATAGGCTGTATATGAAAAAGGGTAAATTACATTGACACCCCCTTAATAAATCTGGAATCACAATGATGGGATAATTTACGGATAAATTATTAACAGGTCTTAATAGTTGGACTTAATTTTTATCAAATCTTATTGAAAATAAGTCATAATAAAATCACTATTAAAAATAATTTTTGGTAACGATTTTTTGTACGTCATTAAAAATTGACAATTAGTAATTTTTTTTTTGAGTTGATAGGATTCACAAATTTATTTTAGGTGATTAAGAAATATGAAAGAATATGAGAAAGTTTGATAAATTATAATTGATAAGAGACATAATCACATAGGGTGTGTTTGATTGGACGGACTGGATAAGGGGGAATTAGAATCCATCGGACTTGAGTCCTGGGACTGTGAATTCCCCGGACTATTTGGTCGGATTGGATATGTATCCTGTGTTTGTTTTTTCATGGGATTAGATGTCTGGAAAGGACTATTTTTAGTGAATCCAACGTTTGGTTGGACGAATTGGATAGGATAAATGAACAAATGACTATTTTATCCTTTTTTAATTGTTTACTAAGTAATAGCAATATTAAACATATCTTTAATATTTTAATTATTTTTAGTAAAACATAATTTAATAGATGTTAAATAAATATACATGTTGATGTACAGATGTTGAAATAATTTAATAAACATGTTGATGTACAAATGTTTAAATGTTTAAATAAAACATAATTTAAATAAATGAAATTATTTATTGTTGAAATTAAACATTTAATTGTTTAAATAAAACATCTATTAAACATCTATTAAAATTTAAATAATGAAATTAAATAAAATATAAACAAAATTTTAAAATAAAACATCAATAAAATATCTATAAAAAATTATTTAAAAAAATAAATAAAAAGTTAAATAATTTTTTTTTTATTTTTAAATTGAGACAATTTTATTGAATTTTACTAAATATAATATATAATTAAATAGTAAATGGTCAAAATGGTCATTTCACCACATAATCCCAATAGTAAATAGTCCCTCCAAAATTGTCTCACACCACCCACCCCGGATAGTATAATCCCCCATATGGGGGATAAGGAGTCTGGCTGGACTCCATGTCCGGCGGACTAAAAAAAAATCAAACGGCGGATAAGGAACACTATTTGGATTGTAATCCAAATAGTGGATAGTCCCCTCCCAATCCCCCCAATTAAGAAATATGAAAGAATATGAGAAAGTTTGATAAATTATAATTGATAAGAGACATAATCACATAGTATCTCTTGACCAATCAATAATTTTTCCATGACATTATTCCAAAAGCAGATAGTACTATCAATCAATCAACGTCTTTTGCACAGTTGAATTGAAATGGAAAAATTTGTAGAAACTAGGCGGGCCCCGTCTATTAATATTAATTGTAGAGGGCATCCAATGAAAACTATATGCACGTATATACACATGAAAAATGGTAAATTACACTTACACGCCCCCTTAAATGCGATAATTTAAATAAATATATCTTTAAAATTTTTTTTTATAAAAATGTGATATAAACTAAATAAGTTCACTTATTTAAGAGATGCCAAACAAATTCTAAATCCAAAAAATACTAGAAATACAAAATTTATAAAGTAAAATCTAAGTTGTATGTGTAGGATCATATCATCACTAAATTTGCCCCTTTGATTTCAAGTTTAGGTAATTTTTGATTTTTTATGTATAGGTTCATAGAGCTGCTCTATATACATACATATATATCACTTTACAAGTAGCGTCTTCATGTTGAGGCCTTGCATGGAATCTATTTTTTTAGTTAAAATAGTAAATAAAGATAATAAGAAAAAAGTTAAAATAGTGAATAAAATAAAATAAAATAAAATATCGCATTCTACATGTGAATAAATTATTTTTTCTCTCATTACTATCAATTAAATTATAAGTATTTTTTATTTTATTTTATTTATTTATTTATTTATTTTTTAACGAATCATCTTAATATAAAAGTTAAAAAACTACCTAAGATAGGTAACGTTACGAATGAGGCCTCACGTGATTTCATTCGTGCCTCATATATACTCTGCACTCGTTTGACCTAAAGAGTTGGGAGATTTTTTGGTTATTTTAGTCAAATAAATAAATAAATAAAATAAGTTAAAAAGTTAATAAAACAAGTTCATGCCCAAACCATAATCATTTCATTTTTTTTCCTAAAAGTCAAAAAAAGCAAAAAAGTCCATTTCAAACGAGATTTTTTAATAGTAAAAAAATCAATCCAATCCCAAACGAATTCTATTACAAATA